ATTCAGTGCAGTCCCTATTAAAATTCTAACTGGCGGGGTGCCTGGCTGGCTCAGTCAGTAGAGAATGCAATTCTTGATCTCTGGGTTGTAAGTTCAAGCCCCATGTTGGGTGTAGAGATTACTTAAAAATAAAAATCTTAAAAGAAAAATCCAACTAGCTTTTTTTTCCCCCAGAAAATGACAAGTTGATTTTAAAATCCATATAGAGGGGTGGCTGGATGGCTCAGTCAGTTAAGTGTCTGACTTTTGATTTCTGCTCAGGTCATGATCTCAGGGTCCTGGGACCGAGCCCCACATCAGGCTCTGTGCTCAGCAGGGAGTCTGCTGGAGATTCTCTCCCTCTCCCTCTCTCCCTCTGTCCCTCCCCCCTCTAAAATAAATAAGTAAATCTTAAAAAAATAAAATTCATATATAGAAATGCAAGGGACCCAGAATAGCCAAAAGCAAAGTTGGAGGACTTACTCAATTTCAAAACTTACTATAAGGCTACAAGTAATCAAAAACAGTGTGGTACTGGTATAAGGATAGATATATAGATCAATGGAATAGAATTGAGAGAACAAAATAAACCCTCCCATTTATAGTCAATTAATTTTTGACAAGGGTGCCAAGACAATTCAATGGGGGAAAGAACAGCCTTTCAACAAATGGGGCTGGGACAACTGGATATCCACATGCAAAAGAATGGAGTTGGACACCTTTTGTACACCATATACATAAGTCAACATCAAATAGATAACAGACCCAAAGCTATGAGTTAAAATGATAAAACTCTTAGAAGAAAGAAGAAATCTTCATGATGTTGGGTCAGGCAAAGTCTTCTGAGATATGACACAGAAACATGAGCAACAAAAGAGAAATAGATAAATTGGGCTTCTTCATCAAAATTTAAAACTCTTGCACTTCAAAGGACACCATCAAGGAAGTGGAAAGACTATTCACAGAATGGGACAAAATTCTTGCAAGTTGGATATCTGATAAGGTGTATGTATGCAGAATATAAGAAGAACTCTTAGAACTCAGTAATAAAATGATAAAATAATCCAATTAAAAATGGGCAAAGGATCTGAATAGACATTTCTCCAAAGATGACATGCAAATGGTGAAGAAGCACATGTGCTTCACATCACTAGTCATCAGAGCCATGCAAATCAAAGCCACAATGAGATACCACTTCCCACCTGGAAGGATGCCTTTAATATGAAAAAAGAGTAACAAGTGTTGACAAAGATGTGGAGAAATTGGAACCCTTATACATTGCTAGTGGGAATGTAAAATGCTGCACCTACTTTGGAAAATAGTCAACTAGCTCCCCAAAAGGCTAAATATAGAGTTTCCACATGACCTAGCATTTCCACTCCTAGGTATATACTTAAGAGAAATGAAAACTTGTCCCCACAGAATCTTGTACATGAATCTCGTTCATCAATGGCCAAAAAGTGGAAACAAACCCCAAGTCCATTAACCAATAAAGATAAACACAATGGGATGTATCCATATGATGGAATATTATTCAGCCTTAAAAAAGGAACAAATCACTGATTCATGTGAAAACATCATGCTCAAAGAAGCCAGACACAAAAGGGCACCTATTGTATAATTCCACTTATGTGAAATGTCCAGAATAGGCAAATCTGTAGAGAGGGAAAATAGATCAGTGGTCACCCAGTGCCTGGAGGATTGCGAGAAATGGGACTGACCCATAATAGGTATGGCGTTTCTTTTTGGGGTAATGAATGTGTTCCAAAATTGATTGTGGTGATGGTCACACAATCTTGTGAATATACTAAGAATACACTAAACACCTTTGAATTGTGTACTTTACATTGGTGAATTATATGGCATGTGAATCATAGCTCAGTAAAACTGTTAAAGAAGAGACGGCAAAATGCTTAGCACATCAGTCTTACGTATTATCGGGAGTCCAGTGGCGGTGGGAAGACATTGATGTGGAGCTGGGAGACCAGAGCTGTAGGGCCCCCTTCTCCCTCCCATCCGGGGTCATGGAGCCAAGGGCCACAATGCTCTCATGGACCCAAACAAAAGTTTTCATTTCTTTTAAAATCAGAAGAAAAAGATAAACTTCTAGGCAAAGAAAAATTCTATTTTTTTATTTTTTATTTTTTTTAAAAAAGATTTTGTTTATTTATTTGACAGAGAGAGACACGGTGAGAGAGGGAACACAAGCAGGGGGAGTGGGAGAGGGAGAAGCAGGCTTCCCGCGGAGCAGGGAGCCCGATGCGGGGCTCGATCCCAGGACCATGACCTGAGCCTAAGGCAGACGCTTAATGACTGAGCCACCCAGGCGCCACCTGAAGAAAAATTTTTACATACAATGCTAATATATTTGTCTTTAGCCAAGCAAGTATAAAATATAATTTTTAATTAATTTTTTTTTTTTTTTAATTTGGGAAGGATCCCAACAGGCCAAAGCGTTCAGATCCACAAAGTCTGAACGTGGCCCTGGGTGTTGGTGTGAATTTGACCATTAATGTTTTCTCTCTCCAGATTTTGAGAAAACAAAATAACATTAAAGAAAGTTCGAACCAATTCATTCAAATCCCTCCATTCTAGCACGCCATCAATTCTTACGTTTTTATCCTCCTTTCCAGTTCTTGGCTGTCAGCAAACATCTCTTTCAGTGGGTTCTAATCTTGGTACCTCTGACTTGCTGCGTGGTCCTGGTTAGTCATTCAGTGGCCCTGAGCCTTATTTTCTTCATCTGTGAAAGGAGTTGAGGGTCCTGCATCTCAGCTCTATAGAGCCTGGGGAGGAAGCCACAGGAGCCCCAACCAGCCACCTGTGGCCTCATGATTCTTTGGGAGGGGTGATGTGAATAAGTCACGAGTCCACTCCTTAGCTTAGCACTCAAGACCCTTTGTGATCTGTCTCCTGCCTTCCTTCTCAGCCTCATCGGCCAGCCCACCCCTTGTCTGACTGCATTTAAATGGGGCTGGAAGGACGTTCAGGATACCAAAGGGGCTTCCAGGGACCTTCTTAGAGAGCTTAGGAAGCTTCAAGCAGACACATGAATTGAGAATGTTAGAAGCTTCCAGGTCTCTTTCACCCCCCAACTCACACTGGTTCCATTTTGACACAGAATCTATATCCTTGCTGGGATTAGCAGTAAAATCCTTAAACCCAGGGTGGCAAGCTGACCCTAAAGGTCATCCGACCTAGTGTCCCAGGGGCTGTCTGGGTGGCTTCCGTGAGGCTGGAGGGAGAGCAGCAGTGAGGGGCGGGGACTGTGGCTGACTCCAGGGCTCGTCCCCCATCTGAAGGGGGCGGTATCTGCCTGGCCCATTTGATTGTTGCTGTGTGGGCTGTGGGCCCAGCATAGTCAGCTCTTCTGGTTCTTCAGCTGGATTTGTAGGCAACATTTTTCCTCTGTCAGGATCCTGTGTGTGCTACCTTTGACACAGGGCCTGGAGGCTGGGCCATCTTGCTCATCACTGTGTCCTTGGTGGTCAGCCCAGTGCCCAGTGTCAAGGAGGCTCTAGAAGAGACTGAAAAGTTGCAGTTTCGTAAACTTTACACCTAAAGTTTGGGTGTAAGACATTCATTCATTCATTCATTCGCTCATCTCTTTGTCTAGTCATCCTTTTGTTTATTCATTGATACACTCCTTCAACAAATATGTATTATGCATTCACTATGTACCAGACACTGTTTCAGGCAGTAGGGGTCCAGCAGGAAGAGAGATGGGCAGTCAGGGGAGGGACCTTTGGAATATTAAATAGATTAGCCAGGAAAGGCCTCCCTGAGAAGGTAACTTTTGAGGAAGGTGATAAGAAAGAGGAAGGGTAAACCATTCAGCTCTCTGAAAGAAAAATGCTTCAGGTAGAAGTGGCAGGATGTGCAAAAGCCCTGAGGTAGGGGTATACCTGGCACATTTAAGGATCAGCAAGGAGGCCAGTATGGCTGGGGCCAAGTGAGTGAGGGGGAAGCCAATAGGAGATAAGGTCAGGGAGGTGATGGCCTTGTCGGCCACTGGGAGGACTGGGGTTCTCACTCGGAGGGTTCTGAGCAGAGAAGGACATAATAATCCTTCATAGGTTATAACAGCATCCTCTGCCCACTGTGTGGAGAAGGGCAGAAGCAGGGAGACCCAGGCAGAGGCTACCACCATAATGTAGGTGGGAGATGGTGGCTGGAGCCATGGAGGGGGTGAGAAGTGGTCGGATTCTAGATATACCACCAAGCAAGAGCCACAGATCAGATGTGGACGTGTGAGACAAAGAGAGAAATCAAGGTTGACACCAAGGTTTTGGCCTGAGCACCCGGGAGGATGGAGTTGCCATTTCCCAAGCTGGGAACACACTGAGAATACGGGGCGCGCCCTCATGGCATTTACAACTTGTGGGCCATCCATCCAAGAATCATATGCAAAAAGTGGAATTGTAAGGTGACTGGTGTCGGAGAGGGTCAGCATGCTGTGAGAGCTCGTAATAGGGGAAGTGTGTCCCCGACAGGGGGAACAGCATGTGTGAGGCCTCCTGGTGGAGTGTTGGGGCTGAGTGCAGGGATCCCCATGAAGGAACTTGGGCTTCATTCTTTGGAAGGTCATCAGAGGGTTTGAGCAGGAGTGTATATGCCTGAGTGCATGTGTGATGCGATCAGAGCGTGTGTCCTGAGAGCATCCCTCTGGCGGGGACAGTGTGGAGGCCTGGGGAGCCCAGCGAGGGGTTGCCCTTATCCTGCTGGGTCTGGATGGAGTGGGGGCTGTGGAAGGGGCCCGGGGCTTGGACAGGTGCGAGCCACGTGGCTGGATGGGTTGGAAAGGGGGTGAGCGCAGAGGCGACATCCCTCGTGCAGTTTAGCTGAGTTTTCAGATTCACTGTCCACAATTTCCTTGGGGACATTGAGTTTCCAGGAATAAGGGCTAGAGATGCTCGGGGCCCCACTCCCTGCTCAGTGACGAGGCTCAGGGAAGGGGAGAGGCGAAAGCCTGAAGCTCTCACTTCTCTCACATTCTGAAAACGCTTCTTTTCTTTTCGAAGGTGAAAAATGTCGCAGCTTCATTGACCTGGCCCCGGCATCGGAGAAGGGTAAGTGTGGCCCCCCCTCAGGTGTGCAAGCCCAATGCCCTTCAGAGACAGTTCCTGCCCAGGTGGCTTCCCTCAGCCCCACGAGGGTTCTTCCAGCGGCATCCCTGGGCGATGGCTCCCCAGAGAGCCATAATCCTGCCAAGCTCCGAGTTTCTTGAGCAGTTGGGAAGGGGAGAGAGGCAGATGGAGGATCATCCTGTCCTCCCCCCGAGTGGGGCGGTCCTGAGAGTCATTACGCTTTCATACTTCCAGTGTGCACCAGGATTTGGGGAGAGGTAGGACGGATGTGCGGAAGTTGGGGTCAGGCTAGACCAGTGTTGGGGGCACTGCATCCCAGCTGCAGGATTTGACCTGGGGGGTGGGGCGGGAAACCAGATTCCCGTGTCTGTCACTCCCTGGTGCACAGGGCCCAAGAGCAGAGATTCTGACCCCCAGTGATGCTCAGATAGGATGGTCAGGGGCTGGCCCCAGCTCGAGTGTGGGGTGAGCACAGCGATTAGGTTTAGCTGTAAGGAATGGTGGTCCAAAATAGCCAGCTTCAGAGGAGAAATATGCACTGCTTTTATAAAAATTTGAAAGCAGCCAGTCCAGGGTGGCTCCACTCCAGAACCTTGCTGCCCCTTTCCATCATCTCTGTGCTTTTGTCTTCATGGTCTAAGACGGCGGCTGGTGCTCCAGCTGTCACACCTGCCTTCCGGGCAGCAGCTTAGAGGGGGCAAAAGAGAAAGGGCAAAGCTTGCGTGTCAACTCCAAGGTTTCTAGAAGTTGCCCACAGCACCTGCTCATGTCTCCTTGGCCAGAACTTGATCCCAGCTGCAAGGGAGGCTGGGAAATGAGGTTGTTGTCCCGGCAACTGTGTGTACTCAGCTAAGTCAGGGGCTTTATTATTATGGGAGAGCAAGAGAGCAGATGCTGGAGGATGTGCTGCCAAAGGAACACAGGGGCTTGGCCGCCTCCCGACCCGCCTACCCCCTGCCGCCAAGGAGGAGGGCAGCCAGGAGAGAGCAGGTGTGCTGGTGTCTTCAGACAGCCTGGAGACTAGGAGAGGGCTCTGGTTCTGGGTGCCAGGGTGGGGAAACTGAGGCAGAAGTCCAGTCCTAGAAACTGTCCCAACAAGGGGGATCTCGGAGGCTCAGGAGAAATGCTGAAGTCCAGGGCTTGGGGCCACTCACGCCCCCTGCTGGTGGGGCCGGGCTCGTGGCTTCCCTGCAGTCAGTGTCTGGAGGGTCAGGGACCAGAGGTCTGGTCTCTGACCCATCTCGGGTGTTGACAGAGGGGGCGTGGGCGAAGGGGCCATGTGTCATGGAGGCTGGTGATGTTCCTGCCTTGCAGACACTGTCCCCTTGGTGAGCTCCGGCCAAGTGGCAGCCCATGAGACAGGGACCCCCAGGCACAGGAAAAGGCCCAGCCACCCCCCGCTGAGCAGGCTTTCAGCAGTGGGGGCTGCCTCCTCAGTTTCCTCCCTGGCTTCCCAGCGACCGTGCCCCATTTGGCTGCTACAGGTGACCACCCCTGAAGTTTTGAGCTGAGCACTGGGGCCTCAGCTTCTAAGCAGAGGTCAAGAAGCGCTAGGAATCCTAGTGCTAATACGTGCCCGCACTGCGTTCCCAGGCATTAACTGAGAAGCCCCCCCCACAACTCAGCCCACTGCCGGATGAGGAATCTGAGCCTTACAGACATGGAGCCACCTAAGTGTCCCTTCTCATGCGGGGCAGAGCCCAGGCTTCAGACCCCTCCGTTGTCCCGCGTCTTACAAGCCCGAAACTGGAGGCAGCCCCTCGCCAGTGCTCAGCGCATAACCCCCAAGACCTTGGAGCCCGGGGGCTGCCTGTGTTCCACCTCTGGCTTCCGGGAAGCACGGCCTGTGTGTGCACACATCAGTGTGTGTGTGTGTCGGGTGGAGGGTGAGCATATGCATGCACGAGCAGCTGCTCCCGCGACTAGGTGCAGGCACACACACCCGTGGCTGAGCATGTACACGCGTGTGCCCCTGTGAGCGTGCATGTGCTTGTGTGCCCGGCTGAGCCTGTACGTGTGTGTGTCGGAGCGTGGGCATGCATGGCTGTGTGTGTGCACATGCGTGAGCGTGTGTGGCGTGTGTACGCATGTGTCCGTGTACAGCAGCATGTGGGATGCTCGTCTTTCTCCTGGAGACATTTGACCTTTATTCCTGCTTCTTTTATGAGGACCGAGGGCCCCAGAGAGATTGTATCTTTGTGTTTTACTGGCCTCGTGATTTTTCTTTCGGGGCTTGGCGGCCACGCCACGGATCTTCTGGCTGTGTATATAAAAATGTTTACAAGGAGGCTGAGTGTGCTGGCTTTGCCGCCAAGTGGCAGGACGGTGTTCGCGTACTCACTGCCTGTCAAGCGCTTCAGCTGTCTCTTGGATCGGCGGGGTTTGTCGCGCAGCCCCCCGACCTGGCCCTCCGCAGAGGCCTGCAGGAATGTGGTGCTCAAGGGTCCATCCCCATGCTCGCCTCTCACCGTGACGGTCTGTCTCACAGACAAGGACCCCTGGTCGCGGAGATGGAGTGTGTGGTTCGAGGCCACACTGGGAGTCTGGGACTGGTGTTTGAGCCCAGGTGTGTTCTCTCCCAAAGCACACTCCTCTCCCGCCTTCTTGTCCCTGCGCCCGCTCCCTCGGTGACTTACCTTCCGGTCTGCCAGACATGGTAATAATCATGGCACTCAAGCTAACCAGCTTCATGTGGTGCTTACTGGGTGCCAGGCACTGTTCTGAGGGCTTTACGCACATTGGCTCATTTTATTTGTTTTTTTTTTGTAAATTTATTTAAAAGATATTATTTATTTATTTGAGAGAGAGTGAAAGTGAGAGAGATCACAGAGGGAGAAGCGGACTAGCCGCTGAGCAGGGAGCCCAATGCGGGGCTTGATCCCAGCACTCTGGGATCATGAACTGAACTGAAGGCAGACCCCTAACCAACTGAACCACCCGGGCGCCCCTACATTGGCTCCTTTTAGTCCTCATTTTACAGGTGAGGAAACTGAGGCGTAGAGAGTTCATTGGCTTGCCTGAGTCATACAGTTAAGACGCTGGGTTTTGAACCTGAGCGGTTGGGCTCTTAAATGCCTGGTTCTTCGGCTGAAAAGCTAGGCCTTCCAAGACTCTGAGAGTGAGTGAGTGAGTGAGTGAGTGAGTGTGTGTGTGTGTGTGTGTGTGTGTGTGGTCGAGGGCCAGTGTGTGTATGTACGAGCGGGTATTGCTGTGAGAGTGTGTGTACAGGTCAGAGTGTGTGCATGTGCATCGATGCATGGGGGTGTGTGTGCATAGGCAGAGATGCGCGGTGCGTGTCCATGTGCAAGTGTGCACGGATCTGTGGGCATGCGCACAGACACATGGATGCGCGCACACACCTGTTTGTGCACGGATGCATGGATGCGTGTGCGCGTGTGTGTGCGTGTGAGCGTGTGTGATGTGTGATTCTTCCCCTTCCTCCTTCACCAAGACCTCTGAGCCGAGTTCAGCGTGTTCTCAGACTAGTGCTCCCCTTCTCTCCTTGACCTCCTTCCACCTGGCTAGCCACAGTCATGCTTTCAAGACCCTTCAAAAACAGTGCCCCTCTTTGCCATTTTCTCCAACACCCTCTTGCCCCTTGCTTCCCGCCCCTGTCCCCTGGAAAAATATTTGTCTGTCATCGGTATTTTTACCATGGCCCGCATTTTTCTTCATTTGTGCCTGAGCATCGTAGTTTTGTGCTTCACATGGGAAATATCTTTTTGTTTTATACTAGCCTAAACCACATCCATTTTTCATTTGGATTCCTGCCACAATCTCTTTACTGCTTACCTCCTTCCATTCTTGCCCCCCGATTCACTTGTGCCAGAATGATCTTTTTAAAGCATAAGTCATCTCATGTGAATCCCTGTTTAAAGCCCCCCCTTGGCTTCTATCTCACTCAGAGAAAAAGCAAACATTCTCACCGCGGCCTATGAAGTCTGTGGGATCTGGCCCCGAACTTCTGGGTCTCATCTCCTGTACTCTCCCGTCCGTCACCACACTCCAGCTCCCCCAGATCCTGACTGTTCTTTGAGTCAGCCAAACGAGTGTGTGCCTCAGGACCTTTGCACTTGTTATTCTCTGCCTCTGGAACACTGTTATTCTCAGCTCTCCGCACAGATGGTCCCTCCTCATCATTCAGGTTTCGGTTCAAATGTCACCGCCCCAGGGAAGCCTTCCTTGAGCATCCTCTTATCGCAGCCCTTCCTCCTGCCAAGTCTCTCTCCACCCCTGCACGCCACTCATTCCTGCCTGCAGTGTATTCAGTGCTCACCTGATGAACAGGCAGGGATTTTGTCCCCTGTGTGAATTCACTGTGTCCCCAGTGCCCAGGAGCAAAGCCTGGTACTGTAGGTGCCCCACAACACCTGTTGAATGGTTGAAAAATGAACATGGATTTTAACAGTATACACTCTTGTTAGAAGAATTACAACGATCCTTAAATGCATCAATGAGAAATGAAAGTCTCTTATGAAAACACTAGATATTCTCTAATAATGGTTTGGTTTATTAGTCCTTGAAGATGATAGGTAGATAGATGGAAAGATAGATAGATAGATACACACATACACATACATATATACTTATATATAAAATCATGAATTGCTTTTCATATCAATACATAAAACCACCCTCATCTTTTGGAACAACTATAAAATATTCCATCACGTAGAGACAATTTACGTAAGCAGTCCTATAGCTGGACACTAAGATTGTCCCCCCACTTCACTTCAGGCCTCCAGTATCAGAATTGAGTGATAGTTACTAGGACACACATCTTTCTCCTTCGCAGGGCTGGGCCCCTCTGAGGATAGCAGTGGTTTCTTATTTACCTCGGCCTCAGGCATCCAGCCCAGCCCTGGAGCAACACCGGCAGAATAGTGGAATAAGACTTGAACAAAGGCTGTGGGAGGCAGAGGAGGGGGCGAATTAAAGATGCCTGAGCAATTTATGAAGATGAAATGTGCAAATGCAGATAA